CCCCCCTTATACCCAACTCCCCAGGATATAACTATTAGGCCAGACCAAGTTGATTATGTGTTTTACATTCCCCCCCCCCCCCTCCTCAGAGTCCCCCCCCTCCCTCATAGTAAAAAAAAAATTTAGATAAATATACATAGGGCCACGGGATATTTCGGAAAATTTTTATATAGTCACGGGACAATTCGGAAAAATTTTTTTTTGAAAAAAAATTTTTTTAAAATTTTATTATATGAACCACCCCTCCCCCCCCTCTTCTGAAGGGGAGAGGGGGGTAATGTAAAACACATAATCAACTTGTTCTGGCCTTACTTGTTCTCAATCAGCTTAAATATGAAATATATATCGATTTTTAGTTATGTTTATTGTATAAATCTTAATTGTTAGGAGCGAAGTGGAGGGCATTCTGTTATTACGAAAGCAAAGTGATTTCTAAGATCACGTGAAAAAATCTGTACATTGGCTGATTGACTGAATATATGAACACTTACTCCGGACGCGCGATATCGATATACTGTATACTTATATATAGCGTTTTTATTTGAATGGTTGATTTAGTCAATCATTGTTACACGCGTTTTAATCTACTTGTCGCTGGTGATGACAATAACCGGATTTCATTTAAAGTAAAATTTAAGGTTAGAAAGAATATTTTTGTTGAGATACGAAAGTTGACTTAATAATCATAAATTTAAGTTATTTTGACTGAGAGTTTTGTATCATACAATCTAATTGGCTTAAGATTTTACCGCCAGTGATAAATAGAATCGCCTTAAAAAAAATATATATAATATAAAATTTGTTTAATTTTCTTTAATTTTAGCAGCTTAGGATAATTAAGATAAGTACAGTAATCAAATTTTAGGCATCTATGCATAAAATTTCATGCCGAACACTTAAAATTTGAAAACTTTATTTTATTTTTATATTCTCAAAATTTTATTAAAGTTTAGCGTAACATTTTGCAATATAATACTAAGATTAGTCAATCAAATCGATAAATAAAGTATTGCACCTATGCGACGCCTATTTAACACCTACATTTAGAAGATATCAATTGAACTTGAAAATTTTTTAATAATAAGAATATTGCTACTGTCGTACCTGGGTTATATCCCCCTTTTTTTCCAGAGCATTTTTGGAGATATAACTAAGGTAGGGATATAACTCAATATATAAAATATATAAAAACATATAAAAAAAAGGAAATTTGTTTGGCTTAAATATGAGGATATAACTCAGGTTGGGATATAACCCAGTGGGGATATAACTCAGGTATGACTGTATTTACTGTCAATGGCGATATCACCAGGGGTATTGCTTATTGTATCTCAAAAAACTACTAGTTAACTCACGTCAGAGTTACTAAGTGAAAATGTTCAGAAGCCCAAAAACCTAACCTTAACTAAAATTTGAACCTTTTTATCTAACCCTACCCTTGACCTAAAATTGCACTCTAATCCTAAATTTTGATAAAAGAAATAAAAGGTGGTGGCATCGCCACCGGCAGTAAATACTAAAATTTTAATAATAATATAATAAATCATGCGGCGAAACTATTTCAACTTATTTAAACTAGCTACAAAATTAGCTATAATAATTTCGACATAAGCTAAAATATAATAATATGTAGAAAAATATTTTGGGCATGATATATATTAGTATTTAAAGTGGAAGGAAATTTTAATTTCTTCTTTATCCTTCAAAATCTTCATCATCCCACTCTTCATCTCTATAGACCTTCCACCACCAATTGTTTAAAATCGAAATACTTTCTCTTCTATCAAGTTTCTGTGCTCTCATTTTAATATCTTCTTTCCATGGTTTGTATTTGGTTATGTAATGAACATTCTTAACATCTTTGTCCGACCACATCAACGAATGGCAATCACGCAATGTCTTTAACGCATTATAAATATAAGGAAGCCCTACCCAATTGCCTTTATATATTTCGTTAAGTAGATCTTGTTCTGGAAATAATAATTGATCGGGGTTTTCATGAGTTATAAGACGGTTATAGATTTCATTAAATTTCGACTTAGAAGGACGTAAAATTATCAATCCAGAATTAAAATAACTTTCAGAATTAGTGATTGGTGGTATATTAGTAGATTCCGGATAAATTGGTCCTTTTGTGTATGCACAATTTTCTGGGATCCTAATAAATACAATTAATATAATTAAACCGAACATAAATAAGATGTTTATTAAGTATGGTTGACAGTCTAATCAGATTAAATTATAACAAAATTCAAAAAGAAAAATTTTATACCAGCTTTTAGGATACAAAGGATTTTTAAGCGGATTACATTTGCATGCATGACATGCAGCAATTTTATCATCACTCAGATCTAACTCTAAAAGTTCATCCATGTTACGTATGATGCACATATCTGCGTCTAAGAGTCCTACAAGGTCATAACCTTCGATATCCCAGACACAAATTTTAGTTGACACTTCTTTAAAATAATCAAATATATATTGTTTCGCGTTCAAATAAATACGATTAATCTCTTTTATTTCAATTAAACGGAAGTCATAATTGGAACCAAATTGAATAAGTTTATCATAATCTTCATTTTTAAGATCCGTCTCTTCATTCTCGAGATTTGGTACTAAAACAAGAAGAGGATATTTGGTCCTTACTCGCATGAGTGATTTAGCGAGGCATATAACACCTGGAAAATACGATTTCATAGTCATAAGTGTGACCCAACATTTTTTGGATTCCATTGAAGAAAATTTGAGAAAGGAGAATTTTCGGTCGTAACGCACTTTGTCATTTGGTTTTATAGCGCACTAAATGTAGTACTGGTACCGATTACGGTACGATTCCCCAAAAGCTATTAACCCGACTGGTCATCACAAGGGTGACAAATTGCTAAAAATATATACCTGCAGCTAATCAAATGCCAACCCTAACCCTATGTGAAGCAACAACCCTGGCACCGATTATAGATGCTGGCGAAGCTAAATAATGCTGGTAAAACTGGTGAATAGCTAAAATCCGATTGGCTGTTATATTAAATTTCACCAGTTACACCACTATTCACTAAGAGTTTCACCAGTTTCATCACTGTTCACTAAGAGTTTTACCAGTTTCACCAGCATCTATAGTACCGATGTTATGGGGTTTTCGACCAAATTTGGAATTGCTAAAGTCCGTTGTGTCTGGTAATATGATTTTAAGGACTTTTCAAACTCATTAATGGACTCAATAAGGAATCTGATTAATTAGACTCTATATTGAATTCATTGAGAGAGGTGCTTGATAATGCATTAAGTAATTATAAGTAAAATTATATTGGTATTTAGGCTTATCGTATAATGATTATGCGAGTTGATTGATTGCGCAGCCATAATGAGCTAATTATTTCATCATTAATTGAAATCAATTATTTTTAATTTAATTGATTGTAATTATTTATACATATAATAAAATTTAATTGCAATTAAGTTTTTCGGTACCCTTCCTGGTACTAGTGGTATTTAGAGATGTGCGAATGCATATTTTTTTGGCTCTACATTGCATAATGCAGCATGCGACATTATGCAATCACGGTGTTTTACCAAAATCAAGAACAAGATTCATACCTAATCTTTCTTATCTC